ATTAAAAACTTGCATTCAGGACTTATTGTACTCGAGGCTAAGGCTACTGGTAACAATTTTACTGAGTTACAATGGCTGTGATAATATCTCATGAGTAAATCATATTTGTGCATATAACAAGCAAGATCTCTTAATGTGTTTCATTGCTTCATATCACAGCTTAATATGACCTTTGCTAAATTCTTTGTACAGGAATTTCAGATGTATTTTTTTTTATGTAGCACAGTTGATAATACTATTTGAAGTAGATAATTAGCTATCAAAGCATCATCTTAGTCATGTAAAAATGGGCAGCATGGTTCTCTTAAAGTGGGTATTGTGCCACAAAGGGGCAAGTGGGAATAGGGAAGGTTACTATCAGTGCAAAAAAAAATCATTTAGGCAGTGTAAATAGAGGGCAAATGGTTGTCAGGACCATTTTTATATGTAATGATCTCAAACTTGTGCATTTCCTGCTAAATTTTCTGGAATTCTTCAGACTTGAGTGTCAGTTAATAATTTAAGAATTTGATTTGCAAAAAATTTTAACTCCATGTTAATCGATTTATTTTAAGAATATTTTATTAATCAGAATAATAATTCTTTATCCAAAATGGTAGTACCTTTAATAACTCCAGTTATATGCTGGCTCTCAGGTAGAAGGTTAAATCAATGTAAGTAAACACACATTCTTGTTTCGAAGTGCAAGCAAGTGGCGATTGCTTCACGTAAGTGACAGCCAAACCAGTATGTAGGATTCTTCAACAGATGCTTCAAATATAGCCTCAGTCTGAAGCTCTTGATACTGTAAAAGTGTTTGTGGCGAACAAAAATTGAAGATTCTATGTATGGTCAGCCACCCTTTAAGTCCCTGTGGGAACATAGTGTCAAGAGTTATTGGAAGTAAATTGGAAGTTTTGATTAGTATATTTCAGCATTAACTAAGAATGCATTTGTATTCGCTAAAGTTGTAAAGTACAAAAAATTTTAAAAATTCATGTTCTAAAATTTTTACAACCAAATAGTTTATGCAGATATATTTTATCGTGCCACCCAGCTGTGAATGTGGGAAGAGGCATATATGATTTAGCTGTTTTATCTACTTTTCTGTACACAAAATATATAACTACATGAGAAGTCTAAACTATTTACAGAAAAAAATAAAGATTTTATTTAAGTGAATAAATATAATATCTTGTCCTCATGATCTTCTGTTGTTTGAAATGTCTAAATATGTATGTTCATTGTATGGAAAAGCCCAATTTATGTAGTTGGGATGTACTTTAGTTGTGCATAAAAAAAAATATTTTTTGTTGCTAAAGAAATTATGATGAATTGAATGTCATTGGAGGTTTGCACTAAAACATTTGTCCCAATTTTTCATAACCATAATACCTCCCAGTATAAACTCACTGAAAGTTAACCATACAGTAATTAAGCAAATGAGGTCCTAGACATTATACAGAACAGTTAAGATTGACATTTCGTTATGGTATTGCTGCACCAAAAGCTGTGTAGCCAGCCAAGGACACAGATAAAGTTGGGATACCTGAATTAATATAAGGAAAATTAACCAGGTTTATTTTGAAGATATCTTGACAATAGAATTTTATATTAAAGTTCAGATGTCTTATGTAACTTGTTCAGGGACAAACTTTTCCTCTTTTTTTTGTGCTTTGAGTGGATGCTGTTACAGTGTCCCAGATTTATTAAATGAATAGTTATATATTCACTTAGATGTATAATTCTAATAATTGAAATATCTGATGCATATGCAAAATATTTGATTTCTTTGTTAAAATTTAATTGAATATGGGATTTTACCCAACCACTACTTCTACATATATGCAGTATATATAGAAAACAACATTAATTTGGACTATTATGAGGCAGAGGGTATACAGAAATACCAGGGAGTATGAATTTAATTAGCATTTTCCCATCTCTTATGGCACACCAGAATCAGAATTATTATTGCATGAAAGTATGTTATTAAAGCTCCTTTTTTTTATTTTTTTTAAACTGTGAAATTCATTTGCCAGATAGGAAAATGCATTGTGCTATAACAGGGACCAGTGAAAACTGTTTGAAGTGTAGTTTTGCAAAAGGATATATTAAAGGACATCTCCAGAGAAAAATTATTTTTCCAAGTGATGCTCATTGATTTCAAGTCTAATATTAACCTCTTCAGAATTGGGATTTTTGAGAGAGCTGACCCCTACACTGAATTTTCCAGAATAACATCTTCACTAATACAGGATTGACATATAGTATACTGTACATCAGACAGTATTACCCCTTTCAGAGTGATTCCAATAGAATTGCATGGATTTTTACAATTGGAGAGAGTGCTGATCTTTACCCATTGACCTTTTAATACAGTAAGAACAAGAAAAATGAGGGTAGGTGACAATGGATTCTGGATTATGTTGTCAAATGTAAAGTTGGACCTTGGAAATCTGGCACTCATTAGACGTTTAGTGCCAGATTGTAAATTTTCTAGTTTTGCGAAAAAGATCATTTTCCCGTTGCATAGATAAAAATATACCAGAACGAGTGTAAACATAAAAAAACACATGAAATTAGTATACAGTACTATGGCTGGTTAAAAGATATTAACAAATACTAAGCTTCTTTTCCTGGAAATTCTACTAAATTAATATTGTCACTAAACATATGCACTCACAGGGTGATAACCTCAATGAGGCTGAGTAAGGAAACCTGTCAGCCAACCTCCCTGACTTGCCTATATCCACAAAGTTGCCAGCTACTTCTTGGTGTACCTATATTATAGTTTCTTGAAATTTAATAGGTCACTCATTACTTATGTAATTCTATAGTAAACAGACCTTGATTCTTTTAAAATACTGTACCCAACTCTTTAATTTAAATAAATTTTCTGTGTGATGTCTGATAACAAAGAAAAAAGTGATGAGGTTGGCTCATACTGCTATTCATTGTACTGCAATGTAATTTAAAAAAATTATGATTAGATATATGAATTCAATATTTTAAATGTTTTCAATATTACACATTCTCAATATCATAAAAACAAACAATCAAGAAATAACCGGGCAGGCAGTGAGTAGATCAAGATATTTACAATATCAAGTGGCCACCTCACTTAGAGATGGCCATGTCAGGAAGGAGGCCAGTGGCAGGTGTAGTATAATATAATACAAAACAACAAAGCCCAACAATTAAATTAAGCAAACGGGGAACTAAGTAACCAATGGGGAACTAAGTAACCAATCACCGATCACTTTTACATTTATTCATAATTTTTTCTTTGTACTGTAAACAAACAGCCTTGAGTTGCCAGCTATCTCCAGTAGTGTTCGAAGAATCTTGAACGAGACTGTACAATTACAAAGCCTTGAAAATGTGCCCAGCAAATGTATGAAGATTTTGATAACCAGGCTTGCCACCTTTGTTCAGAACATTCATAAGTATTTGAAATTAACACTTTAGAGAGCAGTGGCACACTTAAGCATTTTATTCTGGCAAAAGCCAAATAATTTTATTCAGTTGAGAAAACCCCTGTCCTAGAAAGGATTGCAGGGATGGTACACACCACTATACAAATGTTGATCTGTAAGTCCACAAAATTAGAGCAAACACTACCACATGAAACCAGTTGACAAATGTTTACAATAAAAGCATGGGCTGTGACATATTGTATAAATCTTCTAAAGGGGTCAGTTTTCTGAGATTCAGATTTCCAAGATTCTACTGAAGAGAAATTGGCTTGGTAGGAACAGTTTATTTTGTTATAGCCAACAAAGGATTGTAGATCTGTTGTCATTAACAAAAGGATATGACATTCTCTCCACAAAATGAAAATCCATTTTTTTTCTGACTACCAGTTAATAGCGACATCACTTGGCATTCACAGGAAATGGCCTTTAAATTCTTTCTTATTTTACAATTTCAAGGTCCAGATATTGAAATAAAACTAACCATAAGCTGTACAGTATACCTGTACTGTATATGGTAATCCTAATCCTTTTCTAAAATTTAAGTTGCAAAGTGAAGCCTCAAGCAACCAAAATATTGTGGGGGATCGTGACTGACTATACCCTTTCCATGCTAACCTGGCCCATAAGCTACACCCCTCGTCTATAGCTGCAAATAGTTGATTGGTTTCCCCGAGCGATTTACTTCTCCCGGACTGCACGTGTATAAGCTCGTATTTATATTAACCTTTTATGATAAATATTTAAAAAAATTCTAACATCCTCTTAGAAGTGCTAATGCCTTGAAGTCATTTGCATTTTGATGGTTCAGACATTTAACATTATTTTAGGTAATAACAGGTCTCCTTACCCTTTGTGAACACATTTAGTTCGAATTTTCTATGAACCAATCAGCTGTTAGTATAGAAGAGGGGCGTGGCTTACAGGCCAGGTTAGCATGGAAATACTATAGTGAACAAAGGAAGCAGGGAGTCAAATACTGCTTGGCTGACAGAGGGTGCATATACTGTATGAGGTTAATTATTTTATGGGTTATTTTTAAGTTTTATATTTTTAATTTGTATAGAAATTTGTTGTATAAAGTTACTAAAACAAAAGTTTTACTTAATATATTGAAGCAACCTTTTCCACCTTGTTAATACTGTGAGCCTGATTTAAATTGATGCTGAAATTCTCTTAACAATATCACAGCTGAAACTTGAATACTCAAAAACAATTTCTTAGCAGGGATGGGACACAAGTCTATGCATGGAATTCATTTATATTTCATTTGCAGCATATGGATGCATACAACCTGCAGGTAGTTTTATGAAGTACAGTATTTTAAATAATTTTGTGTATGCAATACATGATAATCTTAGCACAGTAAGTCCTCGCTTAACGTTGTGGTTACGTTCTTGTAAAACACAACGTTAACGGAATCAATTTTCCCCGTAAGAAATAGATAAAATACGGGAGTTACGTTCCCCAGCCTTCATTTACACCATAAAATACATTACATATACAGAAATTAAATGGAATTTTTATAGAAAATAGTATAATATATATAAATAAACTCGGGTGGAGCGAGTGTGGTGGGTTGTAGAGCGGAGGAGGAGGGTGGTGAGTCACTGAGACCCGGCAGGTGGCTCCTCCTCCCGGTTTAAAACCTCCATTTTCGTAGTAAGGCTAATGGTCTTACCATTGCTTCTTCACAACACAAGCACCAGTAGCACTTGTTGGGTGCTTGGAAGCCATTTTGAATGGTTAGAATACAGTTTTTAAGAGCAAAAACACTTAAACACACACGAACGCTGTGGTAGCCTGATAAAGACTGACAACGCTTGAGGATGCCGTGTCGCTCCGCGAGAGAGCGTAGCGCTCCAAGATGAGAGAGGGTGATGCATCGTTCAAAGTAGTCCGTGACGACGTTATACTGAATCGACGGAACGTTATCTGAATCCTGGGTATCTAAAGAATGGCGATGTTATAATGAAGCAACGTTATCGGGGGCAACGTTTAACGAGGATTTACTGTATAATGAAGAATCAGAAAGGTAAGCAATCACTACTGTCTGTTTGGCATCACCATAACGCCTTATTTTGAGGTGCTAAGCAGCTTGTGTCCTCCTTTATTCATTACACATACATATTTATCCTAAATTTATTTCTAAAATGCCCCAAAAATTATCAAATTACCCTCAAATATTATCTTAAATGGTGTAAATTTTGTCATTATGCGTTCTTTGCAGTGTTTACCATTAATACATTAATAATTTTATATAAGGCCTCCCTCAAGAGGGAGAGCCTGCAATCCCTTTTTAACAACAGCATCCAATTTCACCAGAATTCCAATATTGTCTAGGTTAATTTGGTGCCGGGTTAATAAAACAATGGAAAAATAATTAAAATACCCCACTCAATCCCAGATGAGTTATTGTCCCATAGTACAGTATATTCGGTCTCTTGTTTACAGAGCTGTAACGGCTGATTGATCTTGTTTTCTCTAACAATGTTGCCAGCACTCACCATTTCTCAAGCATTGAGTTTTTCAGTAATTCGAGTGACCTACAGCCCCCTTTTTGTCAAATTAATGAGGGTATAGTGTACTGTATTTTAAAAGGATCATAAATACCAGCCTAAAGGGCATTTCCTGAAAAAGGAGAGCGCAGCCTATTAACGTAAAAGAAAAGATTTATTTTCATCGTATTAATAGCAGACTTACCTAGGTTGTATTGATGCACTATGTATAGTTATGAGAAATTAAGAAACGGCCAGTTAGTCCAACATCAGATTACTTAAGCAATCATTTACTTACTACTACAAATTACCCAAAAATATGGGAAAAAGTACCCTAAGAAATCCTTGATAACCCTAAATTTTGCTCAGTATTTGCTTAACCTAAATTTCACCCGAAAGGTGGTCTGATAATCCTAAATTAGGATATCACTCATAAAAATTTTTTTGGATTTCATTGCATTTTGGATTTGGGAATTTCAGATAAGGGATGCCCAACCTCTCTCTCTCTCTGTTTGTGTAAACAATACAGTATAGTCTGCATTTACGCGGTCAATTGAACCCGTGGAGGCCCACGTAAAACGAGAAACGCGTAAATGAAATAATAGAACATATGGGATTAATTGAAATAGAGACTGGGCCGACCCCCAAACTCCACTTTTTCCGACACAATACGTACATTGTAGTAAAAATAACATCTTAATTTTATGATGGTATGCACACACAATTAATAATTAAGAGAAATATCAATAATATTAGGTTTTTTAACACTTACGTTAGTCGAAAAGCTGGGTCGGCACACATGGATGGCGGCTGGTTCCGAGGCAGAGGGCAGATTAGTTGCCCTCCGGTGAATCACTTTCACTACTCGCAGAGGTTTGCAGGGCCTCCCAGACAAACCCCTCAAAGTCCATATCCTCACTGTCAATATCACTATCACTGACTTGGGCTGGCTGTGGTTGTGGTGGGTTGCAGGCGAGGAAGTCCTCAATACTACGTTGACGACTAGCATTGATGTTGCCGAGATAGATCTGGATATACGGCTCCATAACTTTCGTCAGATGGTTATTAGACGCTTCATACTGATGCTTGTCTGGGTCGTTGTCAAGAATGAGCTTAAGTTTCTCCCCCAACTCGATGATTTCCTTAACATTATCATGGCTTGGTCCAGGTAATTCAATGTTTTTCTCTGGTGGTGGGGGTCCCGCGGAAGCCATTGTGAGTTGTGAGGGGAATAGCGGGCACAAGAGAGAACTGTATACGCGGACTGAGAACAATGAGACTGGCCCAGCTAGGTCAGCGACTTCTACCCTCTGGTGGCAGGGCGCATCATGTTACATTAGGCCAATCACAGCTAGCGGCGGAGGGTGGTAAGGATGCGTGGCTCAATCACAGTCCGATACGTCATGTGACGTCAGCAATAACGTAAGAGCGGCCTAATACGCACCACTCACCGCGCCGCTTCCCGCGAAAGGTCAAGAATGGACCGCATGGGTAAAAAATGGCGCGGCAGTCTGGACCTCTCCAGCCACTCGCCACGTAAATGCAGACTATACTGTACATGGAACAGAAGTTGATTGACCATTTAGACATTTCAGTGGTCACTGCAAAAAATAGGCACCAGAAAAGCTTTCTTTGGTATTTAGATTCAGAGTAGGCCTTTAATGGAATTAAAATTATGTTTTAGCTTCTCACATGTCATAGTTCTTATTGGTGTAAAAAATATAAGGTTTGATGGAGAATTGCACCAGCCTGACCCTTTTTGTCACTGAAAATATTTCTTTGGTGCCATTACAACTAATCAGGGTAAGGAAGGCTTAAATAATGCATGATGCTGGCTCACATTGGAAATGTGAAATTATTATTGTTTCAAAGGTAGGAGGGGACTAAAAAAAAATTAAGTTGCAAATGGTAAAAATAGTGAATGGCAGTACGAGCCTTGCATATAAAAAATATTTTCATATTGGCAGTATGAGCCTTACATGCTAAAATTTTTTCAAATTACAGCATTCCAAATACAGTATAAACTAAGCTAGATTGAGTAATCTTAACATGAGTAAACACATCGTGTCCAATTCATAGGGCTTGATGACAAAATTATAAATTAATGTACCTGTATAGTCCATATTAATGTTGTATGCATATTTAGGTCAGTCCATGCATGTACACACATGTGTAGGCATTTTAACATTTGTATAGACATGTGTACACACTTGCATATATACATACATACATATACTGTAATTGTATCTTTTGTATCTTAAAAAATGATACAAGAAAGCATATACTGTACAGTATGTTGAAAGTGGAAGGCCAACACAAATAATATGCCACCAGCCCATTGTGATGACATACTTTCCTGAAGTGCTCAGATCTTTCTTGTTATTATATCTGAAGTTTGTGTAGCATTGAATATATCAGCTGTACATAGTTTTAACTAACCATCATGAAAATATTCCTAATATATTGATAAAGTGGTAATTGCCACATCACCTATTGCCTTCTATGGTTTCCTGTACACTGTGGGCATGGAACTGAAAATTATTCACTCATCCATGGTGTTTGATGTTGTACGGAGGATTGCATTTCATCTACCTGCATTAAATAACTGACCCCCCCCCCCACCCCAAACTTTTGTGTTATACAGAACTCTTAAGAATTTGGATACAATCCTCCAAGCACATCACACCAAACTTTAGAGTAGGGGTAGTGGAAGGGTTTTCAGTTATTGCTTTAGTGTGAGTTTTGTGGAGATGACCAGTGTTACATACTGCTAATGTTAATGGTAGTACACACTAAACTGATTCTGGTGAATATTTGTGGTGGTAGTGAGACACTAACTTTCTCTGGCAACAGCAAACATATAGCAGTTATGAATTTAAAGCAAACTGTTATGAATAGTCATTTCAACATACTAACTCTACGCAACTATTTCTGTTTATAAAATGTCACCAATTGTGTTAGTGGTTAAGGTTTGGTTTTCCTTTTCCCATTTGCTTTTTGTGTGTTTGATTCCAGTAATGATAATTTTTCCCCAATGTACACCTATCCTGGACAGAATGAAATAGGTGCTACAACTTCCTTTGTTTGGAATTCTAAGCAGCTTTTAGCTCCTTGTACTTCCTTTGACTTGACGTTTGTTAATATACTGGTAATCTTCACAGTACAGCATTTTTCCTGCATACAGTACTTTACTGTGCTCTGTGATGACCTTCTGTACAAAGCTGCACCTGACTACAAGCCAAGCGTATTGGTCAGGTACAATCTGGCCTTTCGTGGCTTTAGTCTCACCTGTATTTCTGGATGTAAATATTTTTTTTTTAGTGCCTTTGCAGTGGATTCTAAATTTGTTTTACCTGATGAATTGTTTGAATGATTGCTGATGGTGAAGACCTAACAAGAAAATTGCTAGAGCTTGTATTTTTATGTACAATATGGAAAATTTTTTTAATAAAAACTTCAGTAGATTCAATATGATTACATTCATATATCCTACTCTATCATTATGGAGCGGTTGGTCTATATTACTACATCTTGGTTGAAACTTAATCTGTTCAGATTTTAAAATCAAAACTATAGAGTAAAAGGTTTTTGAAATATGG